CACTCGCTCGTTTTGTCTCTCTCACAATCTGATCCGACAACGAAATGTGGATGTGTGCTATTTTAAAGGTTGTCAGAAAGAAGACAATGACAACGACGACGACGACGACGACGACGACGACGACGAAGAAGAAGAAGAAGAAGAAGAAGAAGAAGAAGAAGAAGAAGAAGAAGAAGAAGAACAAGAAGGGGAGTAAGGGACTACGAGAGGAAGGCGAGGAAAAAACGAGGTATACCGAACTTCCGAAATTAAGTAAAGACGATTCAAAGTCGGAGTGAGGGGGAGAGAGTGAGAATTTCCAACTCAAGTAAGGGAATAAGAGGAGATTTTCAAAGGATGGTGTAGGTTATATAGAAAAGCAGAATTCGTGGCGGTCACGAGTTCGGAATAAAATTCTGAAATTATTTGGTCCTAAATTCATAATTACTAAGGAAATTTAAACAAAAGTCACCGAATTTCAAAATATTAATAAGACTTTCGAAAAGTTCGAGGAGGTGATAGAATAGGTAGAGGTGAGTTGACAGAAATATTTTGAAGTAAAATGAAAAAATTCTTATCGTATTTTCGGAATTAGAATAATTTCATAGGTAATATGAAATAAGAATACTAAACTAATTCCTAAATTAAAAATTTACGATGAGATTTCATAAAAAATTAGTGATAGCCAAGTAAAGTAGGTTGGAAGAAATTCCAGAATATCTAGGTGAAATCAGGAAAATTTCTCAACGTGTTACAAGATTAAGATGAATTTGAAAGACATTTCTAAAGAATTTCAAAGGAATTTTAAAAGAATTGCAGAATTTCGTAATATTACGGGGGGGCAGACAATAGAAATGGATTCGACTTCAGATGAATAAAATTTAGTTAATTCCAAATTTTATTTCACGAATTTCTAAAATGGAATTGAATTTTGAAATTAAATAATGAAAGGAATCTGATAAAAAATAAAGAAATTCGCATAACTTTTGAATCAAAATGCCGGAATTAATCCCATTTGCGGTGTTGGTGGAGGAAAGGATGAAGATTAATCCTGGCGAATTCGTTCGAAATTCCGAATGGCAGAATGGGCGGCATTGTCAAACACGTGCAAGAAGGAAAGACGCACGCCACGGGTAGTAAAAATTTTAGATGATACGACCAATTACATGGGAGGGTGGAGAAGAGAAGGCGGGTTAAAGAGGAGATAAAAGAAAAGGAAAAAGATGAAATCTTTGAGAGAGATCGGCGAGAGGAAGGGAGAGGATTAGTAAGAGGGAAATAGATTGACAATATCGCGCTCCTAGTCAAGGAAGGTCTTCAATCAACCCCTAAAGGGTCTTCTTGATCGTTCCCCCGGTGGAATGACGACGTCGCCGGATTAAATGCGCAAACTGATGATGACGAGCCAATGCAATGATGACGTCCAATGCAATGATGACGTCCACAATGGCAGCAATGATGAGGATGATGATGATGTTGCTGGTGATGATGATGATGGCGGTCACGAACGGTAGCGGGCAGAAGGGGTGTGCGTTTTTTTTCAGAGGGAGACACATGGCAGCAGTGGTAACCGTCGAAATCTGACAGGTAAGTTTTCCTTTTTCACTTCATCTCTCTCTTCTCGTTACACTATCTCCTCTCCTTCTTGTTCACGGGGCCATCTCTCTGGTAGTAGTGTACCTTCCCGTGTTTGTAGTGGTAGGTTTGTTCGTTCTTGCTCACCCTATCGCTGAAAGTAGCCTCTCTCTATCTCTCTGCGTGCATGGCTGGAAAGCTCCCACTCTCTCACACACACGCACACATACAGACAAGAGTGCACACGCACGCAAACACACACACACTCACGTGCACAAATAAAATAGGGTGGCAATGTATATTCCCGATGTTCTACCGGTGGATTCATTCGATTCGCTCATCTTTGTCGACAGAAGCACTGCGAGAGAAGCCGCGAGGTTTTGGAGATTCACCTTCACAGCTTCGTATCCAAAACGCGACGCAGTACCAACACATGATCCGTTCCGATCTGCAACATACCGAGACCAGGACTTCGATAGATCGAGTAAACCATGGCCCAAACTCACTAAGCCAGCCGTCGAAACACCGAGTATCCAAGGTAGCACCATTTGCTTTAATAATAATAATAATAATAATAATAATAAATCAATAGATAAAAAATAAAAGCAAAAATGATCGTAAAACTCACCACCAACGATAATACTAGATATTAACCAGAAAAATTAACGTATATTACCGCTCTTTTCGGCTTGGTACAATCATGGTGAGGGTGCGTAGTGTCAGAGTAGCGATGGTTGCCCGATTTTCGCGCCGATCGGGTGAGTCTCCTTCTAGTTCCTCCCCCCCCTCTTTCTCCCTCTCTCTCTCACACACTCACACACACACACACACACACACACACACTCGTGTGTGTGGTAGTGTATATTTCCATGTAGTAGAAGTAGATGCACTCGATTTTGTTCATCGTATCGATGGAAGTACCATGAGGCTGCCTGCGACGTTGCAGATTGTGGTAGTGTATATTTCCATGTAGTAGAAGTAGATTCATTCGATTTTGCTCATCCTATCGATGAAAGTAGTCGGAGTTTTATCCACGGTGTTCACAAACACACACACACACACGCACACACATACGCACATACACACACACACCCACATTTGAGAGTGGTAGTGTATATTCCCCAGATATAGCGCTCGATTCATTCGATTTTGCTCAACCTCTCGATGGAAGTACGATGAGGTCACGGCACGACTTTGGAGACTTACATGCTCTGATCCTTGGCGTCGTCGTGGTCGTCGTCACCGTCATCGTCAACGTCGTGGTGTCGCAATGCGTACTCAACCCGTCGACATGATGGCCCTAACCTCCCGGCGGCATCATGGACTGCAAGGGAGGGCGCACCTACTGCCATGTAAGCTGCCTTCTTCCCTTACCTCCTCCTCCTCCTCCTCCTCCTCTTCTTCTTCTTCTTCTTCTTCTTCTTCTTCTTCTTCCTCTTCTTCCTCTTCTTCTTCTTCTTCTTCTTCTTCTTCTTCTTTTTCTTCTTCTTTTTCTTCTTCTTTCGCGCGCCTCCTTTTTCCCGCGCGCGCTACCTCGCTGCTTCCTCTGCGCTATTCGCGTCCTCCGCCCGCACGTCAAGCCGCTTTGCCGCTGGCACCCAAGGCGGTGCCGGGGACCTTACCCGATAATGAACCTGCCCGAAATTTGGGGCAGGCGCATAAAAAAAAAAGAGTTTACTAAACAAAACTATACACGTAAAAAAAAGAAAATGGAAGAAATAAAACTTAAAAAGAAATAAAAGGAAAAAAATTAGAAATTCATAAACAAAAAAAAAGAACAAAATCTAACGAAAATCTAACTGCTAACTCCCCTAACCTGCCAAGTGTCGGGTCCCCGTTTCAAACGGGTAGAGGCTCAACTAACCAACTAACCTCTACCTAATTCGAACCCCGAGGTCACGGGTTCAAGCCCCGCCAGTCCTCGTACCGGGTGAAAATGAGCGGCCCCGGTGCTGCTCCCTATCAAAAAGGAGCTAGCTCAGGGTTGGGCAGACTTGATCCTTGAATCTGTAGCGTCATAGTGTGAACCCGAACCTACTGAGCTAGATCCTGCTCTAGTTTAAAAAAAAACGCTCAGATACATATACAGTTTTCGGGCTCAGTCCAACTAGTGGCCCGAGCCTGTTTCTGAGTCTTTGTTTTGTGTGCACGCTTGCTGGTTTGCGCGTCTGTCTGAGTGCTTGTCGGCTTGAGTGTGTGGATGTCCCACATCGACACCCGTTTATTTTAGAGGCCCACATGGCCGATACTTACCTGTGCTCGTGACTTTCAGGGTTGCCGCGGAAAAACATTAAGTACCGGGGGTCGGCTTGCGACTCTCAGAGCCGCGGGGAAAAAACACTCAAGTAGCACGTCGGCTAGTACCACTTAAGCACCAGTAGATGCGCAGGGACCAGGCCGCCGAGCAGAAGAAAACAAAAGCTAGCTTTCCGAGTACTACTGCAGTCCCGTAGATTATACATTAATGATCGCCTCCGGCCGAGGCGTAAATTAATTTACCCTAACTAACGTACTGACGATTAGGTCTTAGCGTGTATCGTAGATCCATCCGACACAACACTAACCTAATCGACCCCTCGACCTCTGTGGTCGAAGGGTATTACTACCTATTTTGACCATCAGAGCGCGCGTCACAATAGCGCAATGCTAACAGGGGAAATTGAGCAGGTGACATACGAATAATCCGAGTGAGGGGACGCACTAGTAAAAACGTTCCTGCAATGACGGCGCTGAGAACAGATCCGCGCACAATGTAAATAACGCACGTTTAACCGCACTTCTGTGACGGTTTCGTATCCTGTGCATTTTTTATTGTTTTTTTTTTTTTCCTTTTCTCGAACACTTTCGTCTCCACCCTTCTTTTATTGCCGATTTGTTTTTTTTTGCCCAACCAACCCCCCCGTCTCATTACATAGCTCGCCCATCCATTGTGTCAACCGTGCGCCTCCGCGACCCGCGCAGCCACGAGAACATCACGGTTCACTACTGCGGGCTACACAAAGGTGAAATGAGGTCACTTGCGCCACCGTTTCCACGCAGTAGTGAACTGCATTGCTGGGAACTTAAGAGCACAAATTTTCGAACACACACTTGTTGGAAACGTGTTGGAAACATGTTGGACCAACGTTGAACGCATGTTGAAAACATGTTGGCCGCATGTTGGTAAACGGTTGGAAACATGGACCCGACCCTCCTAGATGGTTGGCCGCATCATTTCACGTACTTCCAATGCTGGTCCAGTGTTGTGCCCAAGTTGAAAACTTGATGAAAATTTCCCACAATTTTTCTGTTGTAAACTTCGATCACATTGTGATCCCGCCAGGCGGTGGTGAAAAGAAGGATGTGAAGGCAAAAGGAAGGAAAGACGCACTCAGTGGTGGGGTGCGGGTATATCGTGGCGGCGAGGCGGATGGCGTAGAATTGGTAGAAGCGGGAGGAGGGGAGAGGATTTTGGGGAAAGATGAGGGGGGTGTCTATCTGCCAGAATGTAAGGTAATCAAGGGGACGAGGGGATAATTACCAGGGACGTAGCCCGATGCCCCGCATCGGCACGTGCTCGAACTGAGGGACGGAGGGAGGGGGAGGGGGATTGGCTTCGTCGCCTCCGTGTCGGCGCGCTCGAAGCCTCTGCGGCGCAGCGCTCATCTTCCTCCGTTGGCGGCTCCGTATCTCTGGTCAGATCGTCCGGAATCGGCAAATAAGTCCCCACCGCCTGTTCCAACGTCCACTTTCCCTCCGCGATTTCTGCCCGGCGTCGCTCGGTCGCAGCAGGATCCTCTTCCTGTGTTCCCATCAGTCCTGCCTCCTCTTCCTCGCTTTCGTCCTCCTCCTCCACTTCACTTATTGCCCCCGACTCATGCTCACTGTGCTCGCTGTAATACTCGTCCTCTTCGGGGGTGTCCTCCGATTCGTCTCCCTCTTCCTCTTCTTCCTCTTCGCCTTCCTCCTCTTCCGACGTCTGCTCCACTCGATCCACGAATAGAAGGTCGACTATCTTCGCAGGGTTCAGGTAGTTACCGTGTGACGGGTAACTACAATTGTCCCAACCACCCTCCAAGCATGCCGACCAATGTAGATATGGCGTCAGAGTGCACGAGAGAATATGCGGCGCCGAGCTCTCATCGCAGTGCGAGACAATGTTGATCGACAAATTGTCCAGCAGCTGCGTCAAGAGGATCAAGAGTTCCCTGACGATCAGCTGTCGATGTACTGCTTCCACCGATCCGAAGACGAATCCCAATAAATCCCCTTCCACCGCCGTTCTCCACGCCTGAATGATGAGTAACTCCACGCCCTCGTTCGCGGCGGGGTGAATGTTGTCTCTGGTCCACTTCAGCCTAATCTCGATTAAGCACAGAGATAGCGCCTCATAAGTTTGCCACCACCCTTACCACTGTTCAAACTTGATAAGAGGGACCGCTAGTGGTTGTACTCGGAAAGAGAGACGAGGGAGAAGCGTTGACTGCCAAAAAACAGGGAAGGCAGAGGGGAGGCTGAAGGTGGAGAACATGTGATGGTTCATTGAGGACGAGAGAAGATGGTAAGTGGGGGGAGAGATATCGCGGGATTCTGTCGGAGAGTGCAGACGCCGTCCAGGTTAAAATTGTTAGTATTGACCACGTTATCCCCCCGCTGCGCAAGCAGCAGACTCCATGAACTTGCCAACTCTTCCCCCCAATCTCGCAGTGAGATGAGGATGCTAGGATGCGCTCGCGGATCCACCATGGTGATGTCTCCGCTGAAGGAGACAATCGTCGAAACGTGGCTGGTTCTTAGTGTCGAGAGCCGCAGAAAGGTCGAGGCTTCGGCCAACACCTTTGCCTTGCTGTTTGGTATCACGAATTGGAACTCTGTTGCCGCATGCACGCTGGCCGTGCTGAAAAACTAGGCAAAGCGGAGGACGTCCGGGCTGACACGCGGATGATGAACTTGCCTGATCGCCGAGATGTGTCCGCATGGTGCTAACATCCGCTCATTGAGTACCTGCTCCGTGGAAAAACTCATGGCGAAGAGGAGGGAGAAGATGGAGGGAGAGAAGAATAAGACTGGGGGGCATCGCTTTCCCACACGGATCCTGATTCCGAGGGCGACCCGGTTGGAGAAGGAGGGGAAGAAGCAGAGAGATGGAGGAGGTAGGACACGTGGCGAACTATGGGCCTAGCCGACCGACTGCCTGCCACTTCAGGAGCGAGGCGCACGGTGTTCACTCCGTTAGGTCCAATCTCGATCACTCGAAAGCACCCGAAGAATCGTGGCGCTAGTTTCCCTTGACGAGCACATTTCCTTACCTGCACCAAGTCCCCTAATTTATACTGGGGTCGGGGGCCCGCATTCCCATTCCGGGCCTCATAGCTTCGGACCTGTCGGCCATGGGCCATTTCTGTCATACGTTGTCTTTTCCAGGCTAACCGGGGGAGGGTCCTTTCCATCAAATCCAAATGACGTTGGGCCTTGTCTTTGACCGCCACTCTAGTGGCCCCTCGGGGAAGGGTCGTTTCATTATTTAGGCTCGATATCGAGACACAAGCTAGGTTGTTGGTCCGTAGTTGAAATGGCGAAAGTCTCGTTGATTCATGCGGGGTCCCTCGATGTATGGCCAGGATGTGGTCTACGATATCAGGCCACTGACGCGTGTCCTTGGCTGCAATATTCCGTCGGAGTGCTGTTTTGATTACTCGGTTGGCGTTTTCTACGAGGTCGTTCGATTGAGACATATGTGGAGCGGTATTACGAATAAACACCCCATGCACGACCAGGTTCCTCAGGACTTCGCCTCGGAACTCCGCTCCATTATCTGTAAGGATTTCCTCGGTATCATGGTGCATCCCGAGGAAACGGTTGACATATTGCGCTATTTCATCCGTCTGTCTCGTCCGACAGGGGTATGCCTCGATCCACTTTGAAAAGTGGTCAACGAATACCAAAAGAATCGAATACTCACAGCTATTTGGTCCAGGGGGCACGACGATATCCGTTGTATCCATGCTAACCCTCTGGAATGCTCGTTGGACTATAGTGGGCACTATCGACCTAGGCGGCTGAATTAGTTTTTTCGGCGGCGCATACGGGACAATTTTTAACTATAAATTTAACGTCGTTTCAGATATTGGACCAGTACAACTCATTTTTATCGATGGCTGCCTCGATAATTCTGACAGCGAAATGTGCGGCCGTCTCCTCATGCGCGGCCCGTACCCAGTCATACCTCATGAATGCGTGCGGTACCACCATCCACATTCCGCTTCCATCCGTTTTCTTTTTTTCTAACCGTCCTTCGTTCCATCTATAGTCTCGTGCCCACTCATTGGCCTGCCTCCGATCCTCCTTAGAGAATTCTCGAAGAGAATTCCCAAGAACTGTGGCTATTAGGACGACATTTGTCCATACCTCCGCCCGTCTAAACCATAGTGTCTTTTCTAGACCTTCCGATGTCACTTCCAAGAATCGAGCCTCCGTCGGAGTCTTATCGGTACAGCACAGATGCCAGAGCCACTGCTTCTGGGGATTCCTATACTGAACACATGACCCGTGGGCTCTTGCTACACACTTAGCACATTCTACCCATTCAACGTAACCCGCTTTGTGTCTTAACTGCAAACAGAATGGACCCTCAAGATGGACTCACAGAGAAAACAAAAGCGATCGGGTAGGGAAAACAGAAGAGGAGGAAGGAGAGAGAAGGCCCTCAGCATTTTCGTTCCTTTGGGCCGCCATGGGAACACGCGTCACTTCTTCGCCTATCGAGGGAGGACCCTCACCTGACCGTACCCGGGTCCCTTGGGCTGCTTTGATTCCTTCCACAGAGTGATCTCTTCGTTGCGTGGCACCTTGCCTGGTCTGTGTAGTCGTGTCAATCCGTCTGCGCTTCCGTGCCTCTCTGTCTTCCAAGAGACGATGTCGAAATCATTCTCCTGCAGCCTTACTGCCCATCGCCCAATCATTCCTGTGTAGTTTGTCAACTTCTTGAGTGCCAGCAAGGGCTCGTGGTCTGTTACGAGGAGGAACTTCTACCTGTAGAGATACTGGCGGAAGTGTTGGATTCCCCAGACCACAGCATAGCATTTCCCTTGAGGCACTGAGTCGTTCTTTCTCTCATCCGGCACCGCCCGCGAAGCATACTCAACCACGTGTTCCCGGGCGTCCTTCCGTTTTTGAGCCAAGATAGCGGAGATGGCCTCGGGCTGCCAGTCAGTAATGAGTAGGAACTGCCGCTCGGTGTCGGGCCGGATTAAAATAGGCGCGGAGGTCAGGGCCTCCTTCAGAGTGGAAAAGGCCCGTTCACACTCTGGGTCCCAATTCAGTGGCTAGTCCTTCCGTAGGAGGTTCGTTAGAGGCCGAGCGATTGCCGCAAATCTCGTGATAAACCGTCGGTAATACGAGGTCCGTCCCAGAAAGGCTCGGACTTGTGTCAATGACGAGGGCGTGGGTGCTTCCCAAACCGCCTCGACTTTCCTCGAATCCGGTCTCAAGCCTCCTCGAGTTACTACGTACCCTAGGAACGAGATCTCGGACAGGAAAAAATCGCTCTTCTCCAACGCAATCTTGAAACCCGCATCCCGCAGCGCGCCAAGTGTCCATTCAAATTGATTCAATATACTGCGCGTGTCCATGGAACGGCTTAGAATACACCAAAATGTCATCCATGTACACAATAACGCAAAAATTGATCATTCCCTGAGTTAACCGGCTCTTGTTCACGAAGTTCTGAAATGTGATATTCATTGTCCTTTGAAAGGTTGTAGGTGCATTGCATATCCCCATAGGACAACGGATCCATTGCCACGTGCCCTCAGATATTAAAAATGCCGACTTCAGTCGATCCTCCTCCCTTACGAGGATATGGTGGAACCCGTGCCGAATATCAAATTTACTAAAATAATTAGCACATCCAATCGCATCCAGCAAGTCGTCAATCCGAGGGAGGGGGTACACATCCTTGATCGTGATATCATTCAACTTCCGATAATCAATGCATATGCGAATCGACCCACTTTTCTTCGGGACCAAAACTACGGGGAACGGCCAAGAACCTGTAGCGGGCTCTATCCAACCGTTGGCCTCGAACTCACGGATGCATTCGAGTGTCGCTTTTCATTCCGCGAGTGACTAACGATAGGGTTTGCAATGGATCGGCGGGTGGTCACCGGTCTGGATCTCGTGTTGGATTATCAAAAATAATCCGATATCCACATCATCGATACTGATAGCGTCCCGGTACTCTGTTAGGATATCTGCAATCAGTTGCTGAGTTTCGTCAAACACGCATTCTGGTACATGTAATTCATAGGGTTGTCCGTGAATGAGGACTGTCACGTGCTTAGTGCGTATTGTTTTCGTGTCTCGGGGCGGTGGGGAAGAGATGAAAGAATTATCCGATCGCCAGGAGAACAAAGTGGCCACCATATGAGCTTCCCCTTCTCGAATGGCCACGCGTTCTTCGGGGGTTATCCCATTCGCAATGTCCCAAGGGTCTACTGATTTCTCGGCAACTGTTATTCCGATTTCGAATAGCGAGGCTTTGAGGTACCCAGGGGGTTTCGGAACCTGTGTTTCCACTCCCAGACGTAACAATCGTATCTCCTTTTCCACGGTAAGAAGCGATTTGGGAGGTAAGTCTGTGACCTCACAGAAGGATCATTTGTCCACATATCGTGGCAGCAGGGGGCTGGCGCTCTCGTATAGGGTCCGAGGGGGTTCCGAAGAACGGGCAGTCTCAACACCTATACTAACGGTTCCCCCATGATCAGGGCTCGAGTCCGTCGGGTTTTCTCCTCGGTAAGTACAAAAGTTTTCGTCGTTTTCTGCCGCATCGGGTAACTGGTTATTCTACCTTTTAATTCTTGGATCACCGTGTCGACTTCGTCGCCACTCTTTGAATCTTCGGGAAGCAACGACATTTGTTCCTCGCTGGATGTCTCTGAATCATCCGCCCCTCTTTCCCACGTGATCGTTCGGATTGGCCCGACTACCCCTAGCTGGATCTTTCGTGTCGAGTTAACCGTTGTGCGGAGGGTGAGACACATAGGAATGGTATATGGTTTGCCACCCGTGTTCTTGAGAACTACTACCGTTGCTCGAAATCCAGGCTGGCCTGGAGGGCGTTTAGAGCGGGTAGTCCAAGAGGACATCGTACGAGCTATGAATCACCCTTGGCGGCGGACAACCGGGGCCAAGTCCGCGGACGCGGACTAGGCTGCGAGTCCTCGGACACGCGGCTTTGAAGCCACGTGGTGGCCGCAGGGGAGCGACTTTCGAAATTCGGGAGATGTCACTTGGCGGCGCATCCCCGGCCCCACCCCCCCACACAAAAAAAAAAAACGAAAAAGATCAACTTTTGGTTGGGGGGTATGGGCGAAATCGAACGAAATTGGAAAAAACAAACGTTTTTTTTTTTTT